ACCTCCTTCATCTCCCCAATCCACACATGGCTTTGATTTCCCTCGAAACTTGCCCAGGACCTTCGAATATTAGATTAAAATTCTAGTCCAGAAAACCCTAAATTCCCCAAATCCCGGTAAAATCACACCACATGCTACCTTCACCCCCCTCACTCCTAAATTCCCCAAATCTCAAATGTTGCTTAGAGGTGCTCGAATATTACATCACGGAATTAGCGGAACCCTAAAAGGCATAGGTAAGTTTCCCTTTGTTTTTCTTTGAGTCGTTTTCTCTTCCACGATTGCCTATCCTCCATGATCAATTGCCTTGAATCTTGTTTATTTTCCTTGGCTCGATTTGCTTATAGTAGTCAATAGCATGAATTTGTTTCTCTTCTGATTAGTAATAAATTTGTTCAGGTCTGAAATTTTATTGTTTAGCTTAGTTTCAGTTTGGTGATTTGATTAGTGATTCTGTATGTTCACGGATCTTCTCTTTTGTTTACCAGTGTTGATTTCTTCTTCTTTATACTGATTTTGTTTTGTTTTTATTATTTTGTTGGCTGCTAATAAGCAATAATAGTTGGTAAATTGGAATTCAGTAGAGTTGTGTTTGAAGTTATTTTTAACTAATTAAGTTGCAGAATGGTTAGTTTGACCATGGTTAGTTAGAATGCTTAGGTTAGCTAACGTAGGTTGGTAATTTCAAAACTAGGGTAAAAGGGCTGGGATTTAGTTGAGATAAGGTTGGTAATTTTGAGGGGAGGATGGGGGTATTTTGGGCATATGAAATAGGTTAATAGTAATTACAGTATAGTTAAAGGGTAGTTTGGGCATTGAAAAAGGGTAGTTTAATCAGATTTGGTAATTTTTGAAATGAAGTAAGGGTAGAATAGGAATTGTAATGGGTATAGACCCTTCTAGAATGGGCTTTAGTATAGATTTCAATAAAATATGTGTAGTAACTTGTAGTACAAGTCAGAAATGAGGGTTAAAAATAGAAATAAACAGGGACTAATGTGTGAAAAGAAAATCTGATAATTCCCTCCAAGTTATGTCTATAAAAGGGCATGTCCCTTACTTGTTTCACAAGTTGGAACCTCCAATATTCCCCCCAAAACTCTTCTTCCAATTTCAGATTTCAATTTGAATTTTAAACCTTCTAAAATCCAAAAACATTAGAAAATCATCAACAAAAAACCAAAATATCACTGTTACATTGGAGGATTCAAGATAATTTCGATTTCTAGCTGTTAAAATTCATTCTTCTAATTCCTGAAAATTTCAGAAGTTATTGGTTGGTTTTTTTTTCCGAGTGAATTTGGATCAGTTCAAATTGATTGCTGGTTATCTACTGATTGTGATGGTGTAGTGTGCTCATTTTGTCTATTTGACACTACTGAGGGTTGACCTATTGAGTTTGCTTGGCTTTTAAAATATCTCTGAGCTGTTGAACTCTTTCGGATTGTATTTTAATCCTGCTGTGATCTGCTGTTGTTGTTTTTGCTGACTTGCTCTTCTCCTTCATCAAATTTCATTGCCAGGTACATATTTGAACCTCTGCTGTAACTCCGAGTGCTGAGGCATGGAATAAAACTATCCTTCTGTTGATCCTATTTTCTGTGTCTAATTGTAGCCTAATTCATGCTTTACTAGATAAAGTTTGTAATTAAAACTCGGACTGATGGACTGAAAATAATTCATTTGTTTGTTATAGTCTACTTTTGTTATTGTATAGTTCTCCTGCTGAAAATCAAATGCTATTTGAAACAGAAATAATTTTGGAGTCTGTGTATCAATAATTAGATCAAATGAGGCGAAATGATTTGTTTTAACAGGAAATGGCCTTTGTCCAATAATGAATACAGTAGTTCAGCTTTGGAGTCTCAAATCGTTTGAGTATTGGTTTAGAAACCGTTAAATTGGAATAATACAAATAAGTAGTTTGCTTGTGTTAATAA